AAGACCTGCAAAGACCAGCAAAGAATGTCAAGGTGAAACAATGCCACACAGCATTGTCTGTGGTCTGTTGGGTTATATTTATACCCTTTCCAAACATCATGTATTCTCTTAAGAGGACATCTCTCAAGGTTTAGCAAAACATCACATGCCCCCTTTCCAGGCAGCTTCCAGAAAAGCGCCACTTGTCTGCTTCAGCAAAAACATCCTCCCATAAGACAGTTTTCAGGAAAACATCACACAACATCACTGAGTCTCCAAAGAAACCAGAAATTTCCACTTCAGGCCTGGTTCTCCTAGATTAGGTCCTTGGATCACCGGGCTACATTGCTAAACTGCTTCTTGCATGCCACCCATGTCTGTTTTTAACATATAGTTTGTAATTCCATTTGTGTCCCAGATCTTTATTTAGTACGGGCCTTTGAAATAACAGAAAGCCGTTTTCTCCTGACTGGTTTTCAAACATTGGGAATGTGACTCAGTGACTAGAGTTCTTGTAAACCACAGGCCACAGGTTCGATTTCTCAACATCTCCAAAAACAGGGTGGTGGCACCCAGTCCGGGATGGTGAGGTGACTCAGGTAGAGGTGTTTGTCACTGAGTCTGACCACCTGAGTTCAGGCCCCCAGAACCCACATGGAAGGGGAGAACTGTCCCCACCAAGGTTGTCTTCTGACTCCCTCTCCCCCAACACACACACCACAGCTGGGGAGTGCCCTCATTTGCACACCATACACATATAGCAATAGTATAAATACATAGCATGTGAAATAGTTTAATATTCCTGTGATTATCCTTGCATGGTTTGTCCTTTAATATGCTTGGTGGCTTCTCATTACAATGTAGGTTTTGGACACAGGAAAATTCACCTATTGGAAAGTCTGAAGGAAAACTGGACACAACTTATACTTACGTGTTCTTAGTCATATGTGTCCTTATATATATGTGTGTGTGTGTCCTTATACACACGTGTTTACGTCTTTTTCAACATAAAACCTCCATTGTACCTTTTTTCATTTTTATTGCACTGATTTAATAATTATGTGTAGGGGTGTGCATGTCATGATGCAAGTATGAAGCTCAGAGGATAACTTACAGGAGTCAGGTCTCTCCATTCACCATGTGGCTTCAGTGGATCAAACTCAGGGAGCCAAGCTTGGTGGCCAGAACCTTTACACTCTGACCCATCTCGATGGTCTCTTGGAGACCATTGGGTTTGAACTTTTCCTTTCAAAAGTTCCTTCATTCCTGGACTTGGCACATGCAAGAACTGCCCACCATGACATTAGAAAAAGGGTTTCCTGATAGATAAGTACCAGCATTGCCTTAGGTGACTCTGGAGAACCAAGCTTTCTTGCCCAGGTCCCACCTGAGAGAGGCCAAAATTTTAAATTCAGACTCCATTTTAGAGAACTTGAACTCAGGCAAACTAACAGGCTGGTATCCACCATTAGTTTCCAAGTTACCTTCTAACAAAACCCAAGCCTAGTTCCAGTCTCTAGGCTAACCCCCAACAAGAACAGCATCTCCTGGTTATTACTCCAACAAGACCTGTGTCTCCAGGTTATTCCCACAACAAACCTACACCTCCAGGTTACAAGTCAATCCCCTGACTAATGGTCACTAATGCAGAGGGAAGCAGAAACTAACTTTATGATATGACTCCAGCATCAGCCAATAATGTTAAAGGCCACAGTAACTTCCCAATTAGATGCTTTCACATTCACCCTCTCTTGTTGCTTACTATAAAGTCTTGCCCTGATAGATATTCCAGGCTCCTCATCACTGAAAGCATCCTGCATGATACAGTGCCCTGGCCTGAGCTAACTCAAATAAAAAGTCCCTACTGTGATTACATTGGATCTGCTCCTTTCTGGCCTGGGGAGATCGCTAACATTTCCCTGGCACTACACCTGGAAGATCCCATATTTGCACTGGGAGCTTGGGTGTCACTGTCTGTGTTGTTTACTGCGGTCCTTTGAATAAGATGACCCTCATATTCTTGGTCATTTGAATACTTAGTTCCCATTTGGTGCTGTTTGGGGAAGCTTAGGAGGTGTGGCCTTGTTGGAGGAGGTATATCACTGGGAGGCATGGTTGGAAGTGTGAGCTCTCAGCTGTTCCTGCTGCCATGCCTGGTGTTTGCTGTCATGATGCTGATGAACTCTTAACTCTTTGGGACCCTAATCTCCAGATAAATATTCTGTAAGTGTCCTTGGACATGATATTTTATCACAGCAACAGAAAAGTATCCAATACAGTTCCATTTTCCATAACTGTGGCTTAATATCTGACAAGACACAGCTTATAGAGAAAGGGTTTATCCTGGCTTGTTGTAGTCCCTAACACGAAATCCATCAAAGTGGTGGCAGGCCATTCCTTCCTGCTCCAGCCTATGGGCCACCTCAGTAAAATGTCCTACGGGAGCTTTCCAAAATGGGGGCTCCTGTTAAAATGGCAGCTCCACTATATCTCCTCAGACTGAGGTTGTCACAGGAGTTGTCCACAGTAAAGACACTTTCTTTCCTGCTTCTGCCTGTAATCTTGGTGAAACAACACAGGAGTTGTCCACAGTGACAACACCTCTCCAGTCCCCTCCTGTCAGCAGCAGCCACACAGAAATGGTAGCTCAGCAAAAGCCAGCTGCATCTGAGAAGACTTCCCACGCTAAGCTAACCCATGGGCCCAATGCCAGGGAAAAGGGTGTGGAAAAAAGCTAGCAATCCCTGAGCAAAAACCCCCATGACAGAGACATGTCTCAGCCTGCCAAGGGTGTATGGGAGGAGTTGGACTTCTTTAATAAGCAATTGAACCTTTGACAGAGAGCCCATGCTCTTTCTCAATCTCTCTGTCTCTCTCTCTCTCTCTCTCTCTCTCTCTCTCTCTCTCTCTCTCTCTTAGTTTGAAAGAGCCTCTATGGAAAGAGCTACGGATAAGTGATGGGGATTTCCTCTTTGGCCTTGCAGGAACAATAGAAGCACTTGTCAGGACACAGATGAAACAGAAATCTAGGAAAGAGAGCTAAGGAACCCTCTTGGATTTGGAGGAGCTCAAAAGAAGTGTAGACTAGCTCAGAAGAATTTCCCAGATAGAAAGAGATTTCTAAAGAGATGGCAGTTTAGTTGTAGAATTAAGTTTCTAAGAAGATTGTCTTGTATACAGTTAAGAAAGCTTCCTCGCTGAACTGGCAGGTTTTTACCTCAGTTTATGCCTCCAGTATCTTTAGTGCTATAAATATTACATAATTTAAATGATTACAGGCCTTTGAGCAGGACTTTGGTCTCCTGCAATACAGAGCCATTCACAATGCAGAGCAACAACAGGCTTATGAAGAGGACTTTAAGACAGACCATGCTGAATACTGCATCCTGCATGTCAAAGTCAGGGCTGCAAGCCACAGGTTCACTGAGCTGGGAATAGAAATTAAGAGACTTCAGGGAGTTGACGCCAGATCACAAGTTGCTAAAAGATAAGACCGTCCAACAGTATAAAGGGTTCAGTGGTCAGTCCCCAAGTTACAGGAGAAGCATCCCTGTTCTTGAAGTGGAAACTTCTGGTTCCTTCAGAAAGTCAGTTATGTGAAATGATGTTTTGCTGAAATAGATACATGAAAGGACACATGATGTTTAGAAGGAATATAAATAAAACCCAGCAGACAGTAGATGAGGCTGCATGGTATTGGTAAGCCTCACCATTGTTTATTGGTCATCATTTCTCATGTCTCTGTTGGTAAGAAATATACCAAAAAGCTTCTGGTGATGTCTGGCAGCTTCGTATTGTTTCTGCAGGGGGCTGATTGGCAGAGTGAAGTCGAGGTCTCTGGATAAGTCAGCTGATATAGACTCATGTGGACTTTTGCTAAGACAGACTCATGTGGTGTTTTCCTGAGGCAAGACTTGTGGAAGGCAAGGCTCGAGTAGGGACGTATGATGTTTGGAGGGAGTATAATAGGACACAGTGGACAGTGGGGGCAGGCTGGCACAGCTGACTTTGCAATGATATGTTGGTCTCAAGTCTTCATCTTCCCTGATCTTCACTTTGTTGAGAGAGTTTTGGCAGAGAACTTCTCCTGGTGTCCCTGCTGGTCCCGGTCATTCCTGCTGACTCATGCTGATTTGGTGGAGGCCTGGCTGTTTCTCCTGGGTTGTGCCACCACTGCTGATTCATGTTGGCTATCCTGACACTACAGACCTGGACTGCTGGTATCCTGTCAGTTGGAGATTGGAATCAGCTCAAAGCACTACTTCTGAACACCAAACACCTGATCCCCCCAGCTTATGGGTTGAGCTGCCGTTGCTGATTCTTGTGAACTGACCTGCTGATATCTTGACATAGCAAATTTAATTTCTTCCAAAGAACCATTTCTAAACAGGTCCAATTCCCCCGTATCCTAATAACTTTTCTTTTCCACTACTTCTGGTGGGTGGCAGACTACATGGGAGGTTAAGCATCTATGAACCTTTATTAAAAATAGGTTTTGAAAAATCTAAGCCAATAATCTCAACTATTGATGTGCTTGTGAGAGTTAAACAGAAAATCACATCCTATATCCGAGAGCCCTGGAAAAGACACTGGAAAGAAGGAGAAGCAGAAATCACCATAGTAGCATGGCTACAGGGAGTGCCCAGCGCAGCATAAGACTGCTTCATTAACAGCTAAAACATATGGAAGGGAGGAAATGTAGTGACTTATCTTGTGCAGCCTGCACATCGAAGGATCCCCACTGGGGTCTCTGATCTTTAGACCTGGAGACACAGAATCCTGGGAACAGGAATCAGGTTCTCAGGTATAGGGTGTGTTCTGTGTGTTCATCTCTTATCCCTGTGTCCTTGTGATCACAGACTCTCAGCATGTGCTTCACAGTGACGGAGAGGTGACACAGCCCAGGAGTGACCCCATCAAAGATAACAATGGACTGAGTCCACCTGGACACAGTCCTGTACACACTCAGCTCCCATAGCCTCATCCTGTCCCAACAGATAAACACAGCTTAGTCACACAGATTCTGGAATGTTCTCCACCAGCCATTTATTTCTTCAAAAAAGCAAAAACAAAAACAGAAACAAACTCTAAGTATTCTAAATCCATGAAATTAACAAACAATCAACCCTCATGTCAAGATGTTAACAATCAAGTTCACATTCAGATTCTTATTCTCAGTGTGGAAGTGAGGAGCTGCAGCTCAGGGCAGCATGGAGCTGACAGGATGCAGATGTCCCCCAGTGTTTATCTCGGCCAGGAAGGTTGGCTGTGGAAGGGAACACAGGCAGTGCAGGGACAGGGTCCTGGTGTGTAGGGCAGGCTGGGCTCCACTGTTCTTCACATTGAGCCTGTAGGATCACAGGGAATATCAGACGCTGTTTTCTAAAGAAAACTGAGGGCTCTGGACATCACAGGAGAGACCTGAACACACTGTCTGTCACTCAGTCCACTCCAGGCTGCTGTCTTCATGCTAGAGAATGAGAGTCATGAACCATCACTGTGAAGTCAACATTCCAACAACCCACCACTCACAGGGGATTCTGGGAGTCCCTAAAACTCAATCATATCTACATTGCCTCTCCTCAATCAGGCCCCAGAGTGTCACCTTTACAATCTGGGAGAAACATATCAGAGCTCTGGGAGCTGTTCCTGCCTAGGGTAAAAGGAAACAAATGTATATGTGTATGTGTACGTGTACGTGTACGTGTACGTGTATATGTATGTATTAATATCATGGTACAACTCAGGCCCGCAGAAGATTTCTCTAGAGGAGCTATTATGGTATCATGGATTTCCAGAGCTCCCAACATCTCTGGGTTCATTCTAATGGCCCCAGGACATTCCCGCCCTGCACACTAACCTGGAGCTGGAGCATAGTCTCCTCCTCTTCCACCTGTGAGAAGAAAAGCTGTGAGAGTTCAAAGAAGATTTTGACACTAGGAAGTTTCCAGAACTGACAGCAGACCCAGCTGCAGACAGTAGTAGCAATGAGGGGTGTGGCTGTGTTTCCCATTAATGAGCAGAGCACACTTCTAAAGGAGGCTGAGAGAAAACTCAGACCCTGACCTTTCCTACCTCTGTTTCTCCTTCTCATCATCACAAAAGCCACCACAGCTCCAATGATGGCCACAGCTCCAACGACAACCAGAACAGCAATGATTGCCATGTTGGAGTTAGTGGATGGAGGAGGCTCTGGGAAGGACAGGGTCAGGAAATGAAGGTAAGGGTCAGGACCCAAGCACTCAGTCCTGACCAGCTCAGGGTCTGCAGAAAGTTTCAACTTTCCCTGACTCCAGCTCTGTACCCACACCCTCCTTACCCCATCTCAGGATGAGGGGCTCAGGCAGCCCCTCATGTTGCACATGGCATGTGTAATTCTGCTCCTTCCCAAGAGGCACCACCACAGATGCCCACTTCTGGAAGGTTCCGTCCCCTGAAGGCCTGGTCTCCACAAGCTCCATTTCCTGGGTCAGGTCCTCCCCATTCAACTGCCAGGTCAGGGTGATGTCAGCAGGGTAGAAGTCCAGGGCCCAGCACCTCAGGGTGGCATCCCCATCAGATCTGGGTTGATGGGTCACATGTGCCTTTGGGGGATCTGTGTGGAAAATGTAAGAAATCATGCAATTAATGAGACGAACTGAAATCTACACAAAACACAGTTAAATCAACGATGACACTGAACTATGTGTCTGTTTGACATTTCAACTGTCATTGCACCAGTGACCAATAGGTAGGGCTGGTCCCCTGAGCACAGAAACACGTATTTTCCTGGGGGGCTCAGAAGCTAAGAGAAAATCCACAGGAGCCAGTGGGTCAACATGGCCGTCCTCATGTGATGTTCTATAGCATGAGATAGGTAGTCAAAGAATGGCAGATGGAATGCAAAATGCATAATGTGTGTGTGTGTGTCTTTGAATTCATATCAAAATTAGAAATCAGGGCCATATGCTACTGTAAGGGAGCCACCACTGAGAGTCAACTACTGTGGTCATCTTGCTGACCAGTATAACTGTCAGTCCAAGTGAACAGCCATCACAAAGTATGTAGCAGAAATGTGGTGAACCTCTGACACTCAGCCAGAGAAAATGACTCCCAGCCCCTGCCTCTGGGCCGACAAGGTACAGGTATGTTACACAGGATCCCTGGAGTGTTCTGTGGACCCCAGTGCAGCACTCACTGGGAACTCTGCAGTCTCACAGGGTGTGTGGATCTTCCCTCTCATTCCAGCCCTGGATTGCAGATGACTGTCTCTCAGAAAGTCTAATTCCTGATTCACTAGGGGGAGCACTGTAACTTGTGAGGGGAGAGGAAGAGAAGGAGGCTTCTGGATGTTTAATTCTGACAGGAAACAGTCTAAGCTCACAAGAATCTCTCCTTTAACAAGAACCCTGATTTAACTTGTCTAAATATCTAGGTTAGCAGTCTCCTCTCTGGCACCTGTGGAGACTGATACAAATGATAATACAAGGGCATAGAGAAACAGGATCACTCCAGAGCAGAGAAAAACTGACTAGAAGCAAAATAATGCCTTCCCCTCCCCCCCAAAAAAGGAAAGAAAACAAGAAATAAAAAGATAAGAGTCAAAAAGAAAAAAGAATCCCACTGTTTTTATTCCTCCAGGTTTCCCCATAAGGTTCCTCATGTGACTATTCACCACTGTAGGAATACATAGAATTGGGTTGTTGAAGGGATGCAAACCCCACAGACAGGGAGGGATCTGCGAGAATGTATTCTTTGGAAAGTTCTAGAAACTGGGCAACCAGCCTAGTGTAGGGAGTCCATATCTCCCATCAGGTAAAGGAGACTTCGAGTCCTGAGGTGTAAGGGCTGACACACTCAGCATGACAGTAGTCAGTGTCCACAGACAGTGGGTGTGGGTACAGAACCTTCCTGGGGGAGGCCATGGCAGACAGCAGGGAGCCCCTGCTGTTCCATCAGGAAATTGTCTCCTTCCCTCCTGAGACAGACTGGGAACTGTCCAGAGAGAAGGCTGAGCTCTGGGAGAGTCAGTGCAGTCACTGTGATGAGGATCAGGAGACCCAGGGACACTCTCTCCCCTCTGAGACAGGGGCATCACCCCAGCTGAGGGTTTCTTTTTCCCCAGGACTGAACCCTAGCCCGAGGGCAGAGGGAGGAGCTGCCCGCCGCCCCTGCACCTGTGCGCTGCAGTGTCTCCTTCCCGATCTCCAGGAATCTGCGGAGCGACTCCACGCACTCGCCCTCCAGGAAGGCCCTGGCTTCCCCTGCAGCACCAGCCTTCTCCCACTTGCGTTTGGTGATCTGCGCCGCCGTGTCCGCTGCTGTCCACGTTTTCAGGTCTTGGTTCAGGGCGATATAATCTCGGCCATCGTAGGCGAACTGATAATACCCCCGGAGGAGGCTCCCGTTGGACCCCAAGTCACAGCCGATCATCCCCTGGAGTGTGTGAGAGCCTACGGGATTCCACAGTCAGACCCGCCCTACCCAGGGATCGTCCCCACCCACGCGCGGACTCCTCAAACTGAATGGAAAACTGGTCTGAACATGACACTTGGGACCCGGGATGTCTCCGGGCCTAGTGTCGGGATGTGGAGTGGTCGTGACCTCCCACTCAGGATCACTCACCACCCTCGCTCTGGTTGTAGTAGCCTTGAATGTTCCTCATGCTCATTCGGAAAGCCTGCTCCAAGAACTTGGCTCTCTGTGTCTCCCGCTCCACATACTCTGGTCCCTCCTTCTCAATCCACCGTGCGCGCGGCTCTGCCCTCTCTGCGTTGCTGTCGAAGCACCCGAACTGCGTGTCGTCCACGTAGCCGACAGCGGTGAACCGGGGCTCCCCGAGGTCAGGCCGGGACATGGTGGTGAGAAAATACCTCAGCGAGTGTGAGCCTGGGGGAAGCGCGTGGTGAGACCCCGACCTCCTCTCGGTACCCCGGGTAGGTGCATGGGCTGGGAGGGAGCAGGGCGCGGGGCTTGGCACGTGGATGGAGAAGGGGCGGAGAGTCCGGTGGGCAACGCAGGGACGCGGCTGCCCCAGTGCCTTCCCGTCTCTCCCCACAGAGGCTATTTCTCTCCCGACCCCATACTCACCCGCACGGGTCTGGGTCAGGGCCAGGGTGGCCGCCAGCAGCAGGAGCAGTGTGCATAGAGCCATAGTTCTTATCTGGGATCTGGGGCGTCTGAGTCCCGTGGGCTGCATGGAATTTATAACTAGTGCCCACGGGAACGCTGGTTGGTTTCCCAGGATCGTGCCACCCTATTGAGGAGGGATGAGACCTGACAGCACGTCATCAGTGTCCAGGCAGAAGAACCTGACTCAGGTTAGGAGCAGAAGTGAAACTGGGGAGAAGGGAAATCCCCAGCCAGCTTCCACACCCCTGATCTCACAGCCTGGTGACTAAGACTTTCCCTGAACCCTGTGGTGTGGATAGAGCGCTGTTTGTCATGGTATCTCCGAGTTCTGATCTAGAAGCTGTCTGGACACCAGGAGAGACCCGCAGGTCAGACTCTCTGTGTCCTCTCCTCCACCCTTCCTCTTCCTTCTTCACTTCAGAAGTCAGACCCCGGAATCGAAGAAAACCCACTTCTGGGAATACAATGTTAACACAAGTGGTTGGGGATGCAGTGGAGAGATGCTTCTCCTTAAACAGAGGCTCTGGCCTACAAGGCTCACATGGACCCCACAGAGATCAGGCTCTGTTCACATGCAGTGTGCGGCACACACTGCCAAGCCTGAGTGCAGGACTCTCATATATAAAGAGGAGACTTTGCTTCTTCCCTCAGGATCTGCCTTCTCTACCTCAGGGTTGGACTCAGACTCCTGTTTCTTCACAGATGAAGCATATCCAGGTTTATGTATTTTACAAGGATCTTCATTCATTCCAGGTCCTGAGATTGTTCATGTGGATTGTCCTTGTCTCAGCACAGGAGACCCCCATGTCCACTGTGAAGGGACCCCCTTGGAGACCACAGAGAGCAGGACACTGATCCCTGTCTATATTTCACTTGCCCTGTGTCTGCACTTCCATGGTACAGTTGCTTTAGTGACTCAGTCACAGGAGAGAAACTGTCACCCTGACTGCAAGTCCATATTGCCTTCTGCCTCAGAGCTGCTGTTTGTCTTCCATACTCAATCCATTTGTACAGAGGACAGCTGTGCTTACATAGACCCTAGAAGGCTGCTGTTTGTTCTGAAAATGTGAGAGACCACCAGGCTGTTGGAGTCCTTGCAGACAGGCCCTGAAATGCAGTGGAGGGTTGACACACATGCCACTGCTGTCCCTTCAGACCAAACAGTGCTGAGCACTGGGACAGCTCTTCTGCACCCTCACTGTCCAGTGTGCCAGACTTACACAGTCCTGGTCCATCAGTCAGGATTCAGTGACTTTTCAGGATTCACGAGGCTTTTACCCTCTCACCCTGAGCAGGGACCTGTGCATGTGCTCCCTGTGGTTACTGCAGTGAGGACTTTCTGAGGTGTCCCTGGTAGGCAGGGGAGAGTGGTCTGAGAAAAGGAAAGAGAAGTTCCTTCCTGTGGAATGCGATCCTTATCTCCCATTCTCAGCTCTCCAACACTATCCTTTTTAGTTTATATTTTAATATTTATTTTCTATGTTTGACTAGAGCCCTTGATAATCAGAAGAGGTTCCAGATCCCCTGGGACTGGAGTTATGGGTGTTTGTGAGACAGCATGTGGTTGCTAAGAACCAAACCCAGTCCTCTGCAAGAGCAGCAACTGCTCTGAACCATTGAGCCAACTCTACAGTTTTTTTCAAATTAGTCCTTAAACAATTACCTTACTGTGTGAAAGAGAGTCAGTATTTTGTTTGAGAAATCAATTCAGAATCACACAACAGTGTGAGGAGTGGGTCTTCATATACTTTACATTTCTCCATGTCCTCCTCTTGTCCACTTTGTTAGAAGATCGCTGGATTTTCCTGTCTCCTTCCTGATTTAACCATCATTTTGGTTAAGATTATGGAGCTAAAAATCCTACTTAACAGCCACACACAAGGTCACATACTTTAACTTTTTTCAAAGTCTATTTTTAATGATTGTTCTTAAATGCTTTAACCTCCGTTGTAGCTCACCACCCACCAGAGGTAGAAAAAGAGAAAAGTTACAGACTGAGGTGGAAGTAGACCTGTTTAGAAAGGATTTCTGGAACAACTCCTCCTGTCTTGTGTTATCTGGAAATTGACAGTTGAGTTCACAGGTCCACAGAGGCAGCCTGAGACACTCAAAACACTTCACAGATACACCAGCAGTCACAGAGACACCTGCTCAGCTGGGAACAACATTCAAGGCTGACCCTGTGGGGCTTGTTAGAGTTTTTGCATGGATCAGAGAACCAAAGGATACTGCAAAGATTACACCACACAACAGACTTCATGTGAGAAATTTACTGGGGGTGGGTATCAAAGATGGTGGAATAAAAGCCATCTGTGAAGACTTGGGGTGGATAATACTGCACAACTTGTGGTCACAGTGGAAATGTGTCTCATTTGGTTGTGTTTTCCAAGTTAAGTTTAGCTTTTCTAAGTTAAGCAACAATTGGAGGACACCTTTTCAAGACCAGGCAGCCTAGGGTGTGCAAGCAGAATATCATCCATATAATGAACTACAGGTCATTCTTGGGGACCCCTTGCATTGCTCCAGACTCATATAGCTGAGAAATGGTCGGAGCATTTGTCATGTCCTAGGGCAGGACTATCCACGCATATCTTTTGGCTTGTTTATTCATATCAGACTCTCATACTGTAAGGACAAAATGGTGTGAATCATGGGTAGCAAGGGGATCTGGAAAAGACAGTCCTTAGTTATCTAGGATCACCACATGGCTCTTGGTGGGATAGCACTAGGATAAGGCAGTCCCACTTGAGAGATCCCCACTTTTCCCACATGCTTATTAATGACTCTCAGATCCTGTAGAAGCCTATATTTCCCTGACTTCCTTTTAATGACAAAAATGGGAGTATTATGTCTGCTGGTCTAGGGTTCCATGTGACCCAAAGCTGATTGTTCCAAGACCAGATCCTTGGGAGCAGAAAGTTTAGGTTCCAAAATTGGCCACTGGTCCACCAAGATACTGACTTCAGACAGCCAGGCCTGTGGTATAGGGTCAGGCACCTTGATGGCAAATGCGCTGGGAGGGCAGTAACTCTTAGAATTGGGGGTGATCCCTGACTTTGTGACCTGTGCAGCCCAGTTGGTCATATTGTATAACATCATCAAAAAAAGTCATAATCATCCATAGGAAGGACGGTGCCCATTTCCTCCTGAATATCTCTTCCCCAATGGTTGTGAGGAACATCAGCCAAAAAAGGTGTAAAAGATCCCCGATTGCTGTTCAAGTCCTGCCAACAGTCAGGTTGGGTAGCCATTTTGGTGGCCTGGTAGCCTCCAACTCCCGTAACGGTGGGACCATGCCAAAATCTCCAATGGAGGAATCTCAATGATTCATTTTATGTTATTATAGTGACTTCTGCCCCTGTGCTAACAAACCCATTAACGGGTATACCATGTAAATGCACAGTCATCATCAGGGAGTGAGGAAACACAGGCAAGGTCGAGAAGACTCCTGGGTGATCAGGGCTCTTTCTTTGGGGCAGGGTTGACAGGTGCCTCTTTTGGAGTTTAAATTGTCTTCCTGCTTTTGAGAATGGTAATCCCTAGCCCAGTGGAAAATGTTGTTACAATGAGGATACCTAGTGGAGCAGGTATCTGTCTGAGATGGCCAGTCTTTCCACAGCCCCAGCAGGTATGATCATGGATCCTCCAAGGTGAGTGTGGGGGGCACATTCCCTTCACAAGCTCTGTAGCAAGGGTGTCTATGGAGGCAGTCAGAGTGGCAGTGGGACCTGCTCCAGGGTCCGAATCATGAGTGTCAACAACCCATTTGAGGATATCATTATACATCACACCACAGCACTATGTGTGAGTGGTGGGGTGAGTGTTAAGGCTCTGCCATGCCAGATGCTTGATGAGCATGTCTCTAATTGGGTCAGCATCAACCTGCCTTTCCACTGCCTCAGTCACATGGGACAGGAGGTCCCTGAAGGACTTCCCTGACTGCTGGACAAGGCTGTGAAAGTAAGCAGAGGGGTCTCCTGGGGAGCAGGCCTTCAAGGCCTTAAAGGCAAGATCAGCCGCTTGGTTAAAGTAAGCATGCAGTCAAATAGTGGCCTGAGTGACAAGGTTAATGTACGCCCTGTGGCCAGAAAGCATGTCAAGAGTAATGTTAAGATTGTATTTCGGGGCTGGAGAGATGGCTCAGCGGTTAAGGGCACTGACTGCTCTTCCAGAGGTCCTGAGTTCAATTCCCAGCAACCACATGGTGGCTCACAACCATCCGTAATGAGATCTGATGCCCTCTTCTGGTGTGTCTGAAGACAGCTACAGTGTACTCATAAATAAAATAAATAAATAAATCTTTAAAAAAAAAAAAGATTGTATTTCGGATTAACTCTAGCCTGATTCTCAGCTAAGTCATTATATGCAGACTTCCAATTTAGAAACACCACGGGGTGGAACACCACCTTAAGGAAATTATACCAATCACAGTAGATCTGGAGGTGCTCGGCCCACTGCTTCAATACTTGTTCATAATAAGGGGAATCTGGGCCTGAATCTTTGGAAGCTTTTCTGATTAGTGCCAAGTCTGCTAGAGGACTGGGAATCCAGGGACTATTCTCAGCATCAGGGCCCATATTGAAAGGGAAATCTCATGGTATACCTGAGGAGGGATGATGCCTTGGGGGAGAGGCAGTCCAGCAGGAGGAGCAGACAACACAGAAGTGAGTGTCTGAAGGCAAACTCCTCCTTAGATCACACCAGGGGTGGGTCAGGGGTACCTCCCATGGTGCAAGGGCAGAGGGGCTTGTGAGCAAGGGACATGGGACAGCAGAGCTAGAAGATGGCTGGGGGCCTCATGTTCATGACTGAGATCATCCTGTTTGGTGGACAAAGTGGGACAGAATCTATAATGGAAAGGTACATTAGCCTTATCCTGGCAGTGCTTGTTATGGGCGACCACCACAGGGACTTGATGCATTCCCTTGTATCAAGTGTATCCCTGTGTAAACTCAGTGAATCTGTAGCTTCTTGTGTTTCCTGAGGCTCCTTAGCCTCCTACTGGCTCCAGCAGGGAATGTTTCAGTCTGGAGGAGAAAGTCCTATAGTCACCTTCCAATTCTGCAGATGCTCTGTTTATTAATACAACCTCTAGACAAATGCTGTCCTGTGAAGTGCAGCTCCCTGTCCCCTCCCACTGAGGTTGGGGTCACCTGAG